AAAGAAGCGTAAGAGTTGCTCGAGGCGACAGCCGAGAGCAACTTTAGCTTCTTGAGTGCTCTCCAAACTTCCCAAGTGCATCCATAACTCGATATAAGCACAGCTAAAAGCATGAAACAATTCTTTTATAACATGGCGACAACAACTTGGGTGTTAAAACATGTTTTATTTGTGATTGACTACAAACTTCTCACAATTCACGGTGAAGAAACACAAAGGTCATTAGGATCTTAACACGCCACAATCTGTTGAGCAACGGTTGACTGAAAACGCTTAACCTGGTTTCTAAAATTGTCAATGAAAAGTTCGTTTCTTTGAATTAATATAATATAATGAATTAATATAATGAAAATGTAGGCAGACCAAGTCAAAAATACTCGATGAAAATGTAGACAAACAAGGTCAAACTACTCACGTTTAAGTAAGCATCTTAGCTTGATAAAAGTCAAAGGCTCGAAGTACAGTTCGGATTGTTCAGAATAATCTTCACAATGCCGAAACTTAAACAAAAGGAACTAAATTTTGCAGCTGAACGGAAACTGCACACGTCATTTTATTGAGCACGGCCGTGCGTACATAAAGATTTTTTACCACGATGGCTCAATAGAAATTAGATAGGACCAGCGCGCGCGCTATGTTATAAAACCGTTTTTCACATGCAAATCCTTGTAATTTCCACTGTTGCGTAACCATTCAGTAGACTCCCGATAACTCGAACCTTCAAGGGAAAATGAAAAAGATTCGAATTATCGGGAGTTGAGTACAAATGAACGAAAAAGGAAAAAAAAACGGTGTTTAGAATGTTTTTCTATTCGTGCAGTGTACATTTTAATCAAATGTAATTACAAAATAGAGAAGTCGAGTGAAAATAAAACAATACATCTCTAAATTACTGTATAAATGGGAACGTAACGTAATTTGAAAAATATAACAAAGGAAAGCAGCAGGGAGGTGTCCAGGAACAGTGAACTGTACAGGTTTAAAGAGAACAATGTCAGGCTACTGGTACAAAGCTCAGGCGATTTCCTTTTTCTTTTCATGCAGTGTACATTTTAATCAAATTTAATTATACAGTATAGGGAAGCTGAGTGAAAATGGAACAATACATCTCTTAAAATAGAACAATACATTTCAAATTAAATTTAATGTTTTGGACTACAGTACACTATTTGTTTCGATTTGTCACTTATTGACAGACATGGTAGGAGTTATCGAGGGTAAAACTGTATGGAAAATGACCTGAAGGGAAACGGAAATTGCTTCGAGTTATCGGGAGGTTCGAGTCATCGAGGGTTCGAGTTACCGTACCGAGGGTAAAATTACAGTAAATGTATGACGGAAATCCAGGGGAAAATCGATTTTGGTTCGAGTAGCGAGGATGTCAGAGTGTAAAACCCAAATCTATGAAATGGACCAAAAACGAAACACAAATCTGTGGGCGAACCAGTTAGTAATGGCCATTCTTTTATTCGCTCGGCTTAGGGCTGGGGGGAGGGGTGGAAAACTTCTAAGTACCCCTAAATTCGCCACTGCAAGTTCTAAGGAGTGGAATGGAAATGATGAGAGTAGTCCAGGAAAGGATCAAGGACTTGCATGTTGACTGATGTTTTGATAATGCTACAAGTTCCCAGGCCTAAACCAAACTGTGATCTGGCGTTCTTTTTTTTTGGATAAACAAGAGTGTCTGATCGCAGGCTACTGATCAAGTTCTGCAGGAGCCCATGAGTTCTGATAGTATTAAAGATACCCTTCAGAAGTAGCGATAAAATTTCATGGTTGTCAAATTATCGGCTGAGAAAATCCCGGAGTTTGAATGATAACCCCTGATAAGGCAATATATAACTAGTAAGTAAGTAAGTAAGTAAGTAAAGACTTTATTTAAAGAGGGTAGCACTAAAATAGTATAAAAATACTAATAAACCAGTGGCCCTCTAAAAATTATGTACAATACGGATGTTAAAACTATGGCATAATTATGAGATAATATAACGAATAAAAATACAATAGATAAGAGATAAAATCAATTTAAAATACAAAAAGTATAACTAAATCACAGAATAAAATGATTTAAAAGCTACTGTTCTTCAAAAATATTTTTCCAAAGAGAGTTCCTAAAAGAATTAAGCGACGCTATTTTCCGCATAACCCTGTTTGATGAAACAAATTCTCACTTTGAGCATGATTTATCTCTTCCTTCTCTCCAAACACACCCGTTTTCATGGACGATCTGCTTGATGTCTACACTAGCCAGAGCCTAGTTCTGATAAGAAGCTCATCGGAATGGGGTAATAAGCTTCTGTTTCGATCTATTCTTCACTGGAGAACATTCATACGATATTCATTTAGTATACACACTGCCAGGAGCCCATCACCATGGCAGTGCGGCTGATCAATTTTTATTATTAGCTACTCGATATTCCTTAGGTCCTGGGCTTGATGTCCTAGATCAAAGTCACTGCAGCCTGTGTTTCAGCCGCCCTCCCCGTAAGAAAAAAATCGGAGAGAAGCTAACTAAGTCACTAGATCTAAGAAAATCTTACATCTCTGGTAGATAAAATATTCGAAAATATAGCTCAGTAATCACTGAGTTTGCACATGCAAGTCACGTGATGTCTGTCTTGTACATTTGCAACATCAGCTAACATCGGCATAATATCTACCAAGAGCCTATGTATGTATATAACCATGGTTTTACCCATGGGACAAAACTGTCCCCTGCGGACGCTTGCCACAACTTCCCCTTCCCCTTTGGCCGCAGTGAGAAAAGTTCCCACGCGGTGGCGTGGACAAATAGAGAATCTTTACAATAATCGGTTAGCTAGGAAACAGCCTACGATCAAACCCACGATTGTGTTACGCGCGCAAACGACGAAGCCATAAGAATGAGAAATGAGACGGCGAACTTCTCATGGCATTCAACACTGCCTCGCTTCTCTTGCCGCCTTGTTTTCGCGCCGTCGTCGCTTGTCGATAGGTCAGGGCAAAAAATCAAGGAATACATAAACTTTCTGGTTGTCGACTTTGAATTTGCATCAAGTGGTCAGAAGAAGGTTCCTTTGTCTCCTTGTTGCCAAGGTTATGAGCTGTCAAAAGAAAGTCCAAAATTAAATAACATTAATCCCACAATGTCAATTTAAGGCTATTAATTCGTTTGCCGATTTCAGAGACAACTGACTACATAGTGACTTGGTTTACAATGTATATTTGGATTTGTAAAACAACCAACTTGCGCCATTCATTATTATGTTAAGCTTTTTCTGCATAGCAATTTGGCAACAGCGTTATTCATCCGTTCGAAAGATCGATTACTGTTGACAGCTGTTGCTAGGTGACCGATGTAAACAAGTATAAACATCGTGGGTTACCCGTCTACACGATGCGTCTAAACATATGCACGCGTGACAAACCGTACCTGTCTGTAAAAAGAACCAGTGGAGCAGAAACATCAGGGAAGAACAGACACGATCATCCGGCAACGAAGAGGAAAGAACACCACTATTTTGTAGTTTAAGCCACCATGGGTTGCGGTGGTAGCAGACAGACGCGAACGGTTGAGCCAAGTCCACAGCCAGTTCAGACAACAGCTCAATCGACGGCTAACCCCGGAGTGGGATCAAGCGCTTCGCCGAATGTCGATCATCAAAAACCAGCGCAGATCGAAAGCACAGCAGTGGAGAACGTTCAAGAGAAGGACAGTCAGGCCGATGAACCCAGAACAGGTAGGCAAACTTTGACATGGGTTTACTGCATGATATACTAAGCAGAGAGAAAAATCATTTAATCATTTAACCGAGCCACGGGCGAGTGTCAGTTATAAAAGGCTTATATTTTCAATCAGTATCGCCGCTAGATTGACGACGGTGAAATGTGATATTTTTTCGCGGTTTAGAAATTGAACATTCATCTATACACATAATTTATGTTGTCCATATGCTTTTAATTGTATCATGGTTTTTAATATCTTTTAAAAGTTATAGCGAAATCCATCCAATTCAAAGGTGATTTTTGCGGTAAAAATTGAAGGTTGCCGGTTCCAAAAATTGAAACATAAAAGCACATTTGCAACATCTCACACATAAATAAATAAACAGTTAATACATTCGTCACATGGCTTTGTTTGAAACAGTTGGAGGAAAGCAAAATCGCAGAGCGTTTGAAAACACGACAGCGGGAATCGCTGTAGCACACTGATAGCGTTTGTAGAATCTTATCACCTGAATTGTGACATGTATGTTAAACTTGTGTCTACAAAAATTACTAATAAGAGAGTTTTGCAAACAAGATGACCATTAGGAGAGCGCGTATTTTTAGTTTTGGCACGAAAAGTAAATTTTATCTCTCATCGCAATAAAGAGAAACACGGAAAGTAGCTATAATGACATTGACCAGTTTTATTCTTAATTCCTTTTTGAAAAAAAAAATCTGAATTGTGTCCAAGAAGGAAACCTTGCCTCCGGTACTGAGAAAGCGATGAAAAAGTCGGCGACGAAATGAACTCCTTTGATCTCTTTACAGAATTGGTGATCCTTACTCCCTGATGTTTACCAAAACTTCATTTTTCATGTAAACAAATATGAACCCATAAGGGCAGACAATTCATTTCTGTAATACAAATCGACGTATCCAAGAAAATTACCATCACAGCAAACCTTCCGTTGCTAGTCTAGATAGCTCTTAAAAGAAGAAAGAAAACTCAGTTAATTATCCCACTGTCTTTCTACAAAAGAAAAAAAAATCAACATATATTTTGAATGATAAAGAATAATAATATTTAGTCTTCTATCGCAACAATAATGAAATGTTTAAAACACAACGGTTGCCATGGAGTCGAAATCGGCACACAAAATATATAGAGCGTGAAATCGAACGCGGATTTTTTCATAAATTCGTGCATTCTAGTATTCTTTTTCTACAAAATCTTAGAATCTAATTTAATTTGCGCACAACTGTTGATATCGGTGTTGCTATGACGAGTAAACTGTTCGGAAAGTGGAGTGACCAAAATTCTATGAGATACCATTTTTCAGTCCGCGCTTCATTGCGTCTCCCCACAATTCCCGCTCAGTTTAAGAATTAGTTTTTTTCAACTATAGTGTTATTTTAGCTTTTAAACAGCAATGAGTCTGTTTAAAGACTAAAGAGTATTTGGAAAAATAGTGAAGGAAGGTGCTAGGTAACACAGTGTTTGAAACAAGTTTGAATTAATTAGAATTTCATAGCCATTGGTCATACCAAATTTTTTTTTACTCCTCAAAATAGAACCCTTATTAAAACAAAAAAATAAACAAAAAGAAATAATTTTGCAGCAGGCATAATGTCACTGATACGTGTGCTATTAAACAAATTAGCCGCCTATGAACCGTTGTCGGTTTTGTATTTTAATTTCTGTGATGGCGGCAGAGGGCTAATACACAGAGCAATCAAAGAAAAACTACGGCAATAAAAATGGCTATTTATGGTGCATTCAACTAAATAGGATCAGTGACTAAGTGTTTGACATTTTATACCGCAAATGCCATAATATTCATAAATGATCTCGGTAGAACTGGCAGAAACGTCTGTGAAATATTTAAATGAATATAACACCGCTATAAAAGAGTTGTCCAAATGTAATTAAAAAAGAGGAAAATTCTAGCGCTTTACCAGCTAGAAAACCATGGGCAAACGAAAGAAAGTCTTACGAAAGAAAACCATTACGTTACATTACGTTTTGAAGCTGAACACGGAGAACGCCACGAATTGTTATTTTTTTTTTTTATCTCATGTGTCTATTTGTCCATTGCAAAACTTAGTGGGAACATAATTTCCTGAGAAATAGCAATTTTTTTTTTTCGCAAAGAATGTAAAGACAAATACGAGATTCAATCGCATTAGAATTTCCAAACCTTGCAGGTCGATTTTGCATGCAAGAGACTCTGTTTAAAACACGAAATGGCACTAAGGGCGACAGTCAATGTGGGATACCGCTGTCTGTAAGGGTTAACACTCACAATTATTGAGAGATAATCACTGTCGAGTCAGTGATATTAACTAACCTCAGCGCTATTTGGGCTTACGGTAGTCGTCCATTTTGCCATTTCACCCCCAGTTTATGGTATCTTTGAGTAGATCTGCCGGACATCCATCTATCAAAGCACTTTTTAACGTTTCGATTAAAAGCCGCAATTAATATCGAGACGAAACTCCTTATTTTGACAACCTTTTTCCGGGTTAAAAATAGGATAATAGTTCAGAGGCGAGCTATCGAGCACGTTTCAGTCTTTGCTTCCACGTTGAAAAAGTCAATAGGTGCTCAAGTACTATTTCCAAAACGAGAGCGACTGTTTCATCGGGGTATCCAAACACCGAGAAACACATGAAAGAAAAACGAAAAATAAAGCTAAGACAGTTTTAAAGCTATTGTGCTTTCTATATATAGGATATGAGCTTTCTTTGTGGTGACTCAGTTGGCCGACTTTTTAAAGCCGGAAACGATCCCGTTCTTCTCTTTGCCACGCCATGTTGTCTGAGTTATGTTGCTGGCTGCAAAGGCAATAGAATTGTAGGTTATTCGAGTGTTTGCTTATTCTTCTGGAGCTTTTTCTTATTCTGTCGGCAATATGCTTGCTGCGGCAATCCTTGGCCACTGGCCAACTCACTGGCACTGGTATAAAAATATTGTTTGTATGAAAAGCTGTATCAGAACGTAAAATAACGGCGTCGACAAAACCAGGATCGGACCGGATCGGA